ATAAGAAAATGTTTCAAACCCAGTATTTGCTGCCGTTCTTTGTTGTCAACGGTCACGGCACTGGCTTGAACCAGTCGAGGGACACTGAAGCCCACTTCATTGGCCAGTTCCAGCAGATCCTTCCACCACAGCGCCCCGCCGAGACACTCACCTGCAAAGATAATCCAACCGTTGCAGACATTTTAACATCCTGGCTACAAACGTCAAGTGAGGGCAAGCCTTCACATAAAAGCAGATTTAGATGATTATCATATTGTTGCTGGTGGATTTGCGGCAAACTTGAATGACTTTCTGTGAAAATTACAGCAACACATCAACTTTATTTTTCTTTTAGGGGGCGAAGGTCTTCAGGTGAGCATTTACTGTATGTCCTGCAGGAAATGTTTATTTCTGCTGAGAGTACAGAAGGAACAGCCGATGGAATATTGAAACCTTAAAACATTTTGTAATGAAGTCTCAGCACTAACCACCACACCAGCGTGCAAGCACATCAACAACGCATCATTAAAAGACGTTCAGCATATTAAAAGGCAGCTAATCAATCTCCACCTGCACAAAAAATGACTATACTTCCATACACTATTACATATATTGACCTAAAGCTTGGTGTGGTAGTAGCCGACGGTCATACAAGCTTACAAATCAAGTGACGTATCGCAATATCACTAGATGGTCCAGATTGTTTTTCTTTGGATAAAATAGTAAGAAACAGGCATGAAAGGAAAAATAGTTTATTATATCAGTGTGTGGGGCAGATCTACGGAACGGATTAAATGATGAGCTCAAACAAAAGTATAAAAATGAGCTTATTGGAAATATGCTGTATAGGTGTCTCAAAAACCAAAATATTAATAATGTGTAAATAACTATACAATCAACAGTGAGAATGTGAGGTTTAAGTGTCATTTAATGTGGGAGTATTATACGGTTTATTTAGTGTGGGGAGACTAAAATAATTATATATTGATGTGTATTACAGGGACAGGAAATCATAAGATCTTTATTTTCTGCCTGCTCCTTTTCAATTAAATTGTGTCAAATTGCACGTCAGTTGCTCTGACTATTTGTCTTATTATTATTTTGTTTTTTTCTTTCTTTGGTTTTACTTTTTATTGTCTGCTCGAAATAAACAAATAAATAAGGAGGTGGCAATATGCATTCCTTCATGGAACGATGTGCCTTTAATTGATTTTGTTGGCATATTTCAAAATACACGACACGTACAGGGATTAAAGCAAATCGAATCCTTGGTCCCCCAAAATTTTACTTTAAATGTAAAATATTTATATTGCTTCTCATTTTGCTTAAAATAACTAATAAATACTTAATTTAGTGCAGACTTCTTATGACATTTGGCCGTTTGAAGTCAGAAAATAGTTGGATTTTTTTAGTAATCTTTTATTTTGATATGGAAAAAACAACAGAGAACGTCTGTTGAGACCCAATTCTTGATGATCCTGCAACCAGGAGAAGATGTTGGGTGTCTGACTGGAGCGCACACCTGAGCTCAGCACACGTCAGAAAGCACGACCCGCTCTGCTCGGCTCCGATTGGTTAAAACTACGACTTTGACTCGCTGTTTGTTGAAAGCAGCCTCAGTTTAATCCTTGTATCATAACGAGATCACATGACCTCAACACAACCACAACAAAACACGCGTTTCACCCCATTATCGTTTTTAAAGACGACAGAAATTTGCACAGGCCATGTTCAAAATGACAAATCCACCATGGTGACGGACAACTTTAATTCCTAAATGTATGGATATAAATGTAACAAAGGTCATTTCGACTTAAAAAGTTCTCCTGCCCTCCATCTTGGATGTGATTAAAATAAAAGAAGTGAACACTAAGAGATCAAACTCTAGCTTGTACAGTTTTGAAGCCTCACATTCAGCATTCTATCCTAGATTTTTACAGCCACAGAATAAAATGACACTTTATTTATAAAGCACTTAAAACGGCAACAAGGCCAAACAAAGTGCTGTACTGCAGAAATGATTTGAACGAGTACCACAAGACACTATGCCCGGCCACTGGGTAACTAACCAAAGAGAGTAGCACACGTTTATTCACAAGGCGGGATCATTTTCATTCCCATTTCATTTCACTATGCGAGTGCGCTGCGTGTGGGACTCAGTTTCTTTGTGGCTCCTCGGATTGATGAAGTCCTTTGGATTAAGGACGAAATGTCTCAAGAAGAAAAAGAAACCTGTTTCATTTCTACTGGTATTAAGTATTTTTACATGGATTTCTGTGAAGATTTACTTTTGCAGCCAGTGTGAAAGTCAGACTGGCTAACACACACAATCCATTTCTGTGTTTAAACGTGTACATTTCCAGAAAAAGTCCAGGTTTTTGTGAAACTGACATGTTAGATGCTAAGGGCTGACACTGCCAGTAATTATTACTAAGAGGTTAGATGTTTTACTGTGGTAAGAACCTTGCTAATGTGCCAGAATTTGTATTTTTTAGGTGGAAGGTGTTTGCAAATCAGCAACAGATTTGCCACAAATATTTCACTAAAAAGGAAAAATGCTGATAGTGTGGCAGGTGTTTGCAGTTTTATGGTGGCTGAGTGGTTAGAGCAGTCGTCCTCCAATGCAAGAGTTGGGGGTTCGATTCCACCAGCAGTCATGTTGAAGTGTCACTGGGCAAGACACTGAACCCCTCATTATCTTTGATGTGGGTCCCATCGGTGTATGAATGTGATAAAGCACTGATTATTCTTTGTTTACTGTACTTTCCACCGTACACGTCGCACCGCCATATAAATGGCGTCAGTTCAAAAATGTCTAATAAAGTGGAAAAAACATAAATACGTTGCTTTGCCGTATAAGTCGCAACTATTATGTGGTGTGCCAAAAATCGATTGGCTACCAAATTCCGCGGGAGCGTGCACGGGAGGACTTTAACAAGAATTTAACAAGATTAACACTTAAAAACAATTGTTTGTTTGCTCGAAATTGTAGCAAAGGTGTGTCTCAGTTGAACTTTCTTTAATAAATGCACTTTGACGGTCGAATCAGGTGCATTTCAAAAGCCGATACGTGAAAGCAAAAGCGCAAAGAGGGATGACTCGATGTGCATTTCTTCGAAATTTATCAAGATAACCATCTAAAAACAATTGTTTGAATCTATGGCGAGCCTATTGTGTTAGTAATAGCCACTTTCACCTATTACATGATACAACGGCATGCCATACTACTAGAGTGCCATCTAGTGGCTGAAAATGGTAGTGTTCAATATTTTCAGTCAATGAATGAAAACGGTCATATCTCAGCTAAAAAATGGTTTATAAATATGGGAAAAAAAACATAAATAATTCGCAGGGAATGCAAATTATGCAAAATAAACTGCAACTTATACGCCGAAAAATACAGTAGATATAGTAGAGTGCTGTATGAATGGGTAAATGAGGGCACAGATTGTGTTGTAAAGCGTTTTGAGTATCTAGATAATAGAAAAGTGCTATATAGGTACAGTCCATTTACCATAACATATGAAATTAACGCACCCCACAGCACTTTGTGGTTTTTGATTTCCTTTGTTAGTCTCCCACTGCAGTAGATGTCACTGAAGTACAGCTCACCACCTTCCTGATGAGTAGAAAAATATTTGTGGTGAACATTAAAGCAACCTGTGCATCTAATGATCCATAAATTAATCATGTGAGCGTAAAGCAGGCTACCTTCAGGACACTGTAAACTTCAGCCAGAACTCGCTTCTTGTCCGGAGAGAGGTTCACCACACAGTTGGAACTACAAGACGGCAGCAATCAACAACGTTAGAAACAGCTGAGTGTATAATGAGCACTAAAACTGATCAAATAAAGAGATAGAAGATGGAAATCTTACATGGTGATGTCAAAGGAGTTTTGTTCCAGACCCGCCTCAGTTAAAGCTTCAATGTAGCCCAGGAAAAAACTGACATTCGGCTTTTTGTAGCCAAACTCTTTCATGTGATAGTCTGTATATTTTCTGGCAACTTCAAGCTTGAAGAGATAAAAAAAATAATAATCCAGATTCTCTTGATGTTTGCACATAAAATATTTATATAGTTGTTTTTTTGCCACGAGTCAAAAATGTTTGGCTGCACTTATGCACATTTAGAGAAGGAAAAGTTTGTCTTTAAGCCTTAAACTATTCTGTGACTTGACAATTAGTTTGAGACAACTACAAGCTGAGGGGTTGTGATCAGTCAGTGTGATGTGTTGCTCAGTACCTGGCTGTCAGTCATGTCAATTCCAGAAACATGACCCCGCTCCCCCACTAACAGACTTAGCATGAAGCAGTCCCTCCCACTTCCACTGCCCAGGTCCAGTATCCTGCAGCCCTCCAAGCACTCTGGCACAACCAGACCACAGCCATAGTACCTGAGGGGGTCAGGAACACATCAGCACCAGAGCCTTATGGAGCCAAAACAGAGCATGCGTCACTAACTTGACAGAGACTTCAGGGTGAACTTTCTTCAACGCATCACGAACGTAGGATGGGACCGGCTGAGCTGGAGTCACACAGGCATTGGTCTTCAGGTCCGAGTTCTTCTTTACTGTCTTTCCATAATACTCCTGCTCAGACAGAAAGAAGATCCTCATTGTACAGCAGGGTACAGTGCTTTAACATTAAACATTACTTTATACAGGCATGTCAAGCATGGGAGACTGACTCTGTGGAGTCAGAGTCACAGCCAAAAACAGGAATTCACAAATTACAATATATGATCGATGGGAAACATACAAACTGAGGGAAAAGCAAGAGGTACAGGCCAGGATCAACATCTGAATAAATCAATAGAAGAAGAAATAAACTGAATAAAATGACACAAATCTATAAGATAACATGATGACATGTTCATACTTTCACAAGCATTTTAGTTAATTATGCAAGTGTTTATGATTTGTTTTACATTTATTTTAATGCACACTTAGATTTCTGCAAAACAAAACAACATGAAATTATTATAAACAACTAAAATGTTAATTTTGTATTATTCCCAAGTTTGTTAACTTTGCATTTAAGCCTTTAAGTATTTGGTCGTGGTGATGGTTTGCCTTTTGTACATGATTCAACAAGAGCACACAGTTGGGGAATTAAAAATGACTTTACCTTAACGTCTACATGAACGCTTTCCAAGAAACCATTTCCACTGGAACTAAAAACAATAAGAAAAAAAAATTATAATTCATATTTATCCAACCAACAGTCTTATTGGTGTCTATAATATAAAGTTATTATATGTAGGTGCATTTTTCCCACTTTGATCGCAATAATTTAAGTCATATTTATGAAATATCTCATAATTATGAGAATGTCTAAAATAGGATTTTTGCTGTCACATAATTATGCAATACTATCTCAATTAATATCTAATAACTATGACTCAGTATCTTGTAATTGTGTCTAGCATCTCATAGTATGGGACATTAATTAATACTAAGTCTTAGTTATGACATTAAGGTTACATTTATAATATGCTAAGTCTTAACTTTATGAGATACTTTATAGTTATGAGAAACTATAAGAGATTATGAGTCATAACAATAAAATATTTGGTCATATAATTTTGATATATATATTTCCTAATAATAATTTGTATTTATCGATTTATTCTCGGAAATGGGCTTCCACAGACAGCCAACACTAAAAGTTTACAACTACAACAAATAGTTAAATATTAAGTTAAAACTTTCGGAGTTCTTAGTGCACGTTTAAATTGCACGGTAACGGTGAGACGTTCAGGTGTCACGTATAAAAACAACACAAGCAAAGTTGTTTACCAACATAAAAAATTAGCCACCGTATAAGAAATAACTAGGCCTTACCTGCCTTTATCAGCCATTACTGCAAGTGTTTATGAAGTTTAAAGTTAAGAGGAAACGATATTTGTACTTTTTTTTTTTTGTCGTTCTCGATTCAGAACTTAAACGTTCACTTCCTGCTAAGCTGCGCGCGCATCCGCTTCTTCTTCGTCTGCTCAAATCAGTCAAAATACCTTTATAGATGATAAGAGATCATAATGCATGACCTTATGAGTGAATACTAAAATAATGCATGTAGTCTTAAAATAATAAAACTATTATCTACCACAATTGTGGCAGAAATTCTCATTTGACACGCTCATCATCACAAGAACATAATTAAAAACCACATCCACATAATAATAGAAGTTATATTTGTTGTCAGCCCATGTGATATTTCTAAACGCAGACATGCTTCAACATTTATGACAACCTGACGGCCAATAAATAAGTAAAAGACAGACATACGCTTAAATTTGGTTTATTTATTGAACGTACATTCATCTCAGATGCTGAAATAAATGGCTTATGATCAGAACATTCAGAGAATAATGTGCAACACACGCACAAAGCAAGAAAACAATGTCTTTGGCGAGATTGTCCTTAACTCCTAACACATCTGTACTGTTAGTCAAACGTACCCTCCACACAACCTCAGATTAACTCAAACAGGTCTTTGCTCAGTATAAAAACTTAGTAATATCAATAATGAAATATAGCTGTTCATAATATTAAGGCTTTTTTTTATTATTAAAGCAACTATTGAGTTGACAAACATGAATATGGTAGACATTTTGAAACTAGTGGTTCTGTGATTTTTTTTTTAATAGGTAACAAGATTTAAATGAATCAGATAAGAAAAATAGCTCATCTTCAACTACATGTACCATAAATTCACAATACATTTAGTTTACAAAAAGACAAACACGTAAAGCACTTGTGTTGCGTAACGTACCAAATTTTAGGAGAATTTGTTTAAACGTTTGTGCTTTTGCAGCGATTGTATTTTATTTACCGGTATTTATGGACATTTACAAAAACTTCTTGCCTAGTGATTGAAGTTAATTTAGAAAAATGGAGAACAAGGTTTTCTTTTTTAAAACAGCTCAGTTCTTTACTCACACAGCATCATCAGAGGCAACACCAACATTTTACATGTTTTATTAGGCTTAATTTTCAAAACAATTTATTTAAAGCAACAAAATCTTATCAATTTTGAGCATTTAAATGTTTAACATTTAAATGACACGATTACACAAACTGGTGATTTTACTTTTAAAGAATTATTGATATCACTTGTTTTATTAGGAAATCCTTAAAACCAATATTCCAAAATCAAGAATAACCAAAAACAAAATAAAAACTATCCTAAACTTGGTTAACTCGATTGTTCTTTTTTTAGATACAAATTTAATTTATAAATATAAATAACCAAAATATTAAGTTTAACATAAAACACCAAAGTGTTTCTAGAAAGTTGTTTTTATATTATTATTGGACAATAATGCAAATGAATGAATACTAGTAAAAAATAAAATCCCCCTATTTTGGTGGTTAAAAAAAAACTTAAATTAATATGCACAATGACTTAAAAGTCAGTAAAATATAATTAAAAATGATCAACTGGTGCCAATGATTAAATCCAACACTGAGGATGTAACGAGACACTGCACAGGACAAAAAAAAAAAAAAAGAGGTTCTAACAAAATTGTTTAGCCACAAACTAAAGTGGCGTTCGGTTCCTCATGAATCTCTTCAGGCATTCAAACGTCTCTTTTAAGCTTATGTGACCTATGAAGTTGGTAAGTTAAACCATTTTTCACAATATGTTCATTAAAAAATAAATACATTAGCCATGTTTTTTTTTAAAGGTCTTATTTCAAAATATCAACACAAAAAGATTAACCTAACTTTTCTCAACATGTGTTTTATATCAGTCAGAACAAAGAAACAAAAAAATTACCGTATTTTTCGGACTATAAGGCGCACTTAAAATCCTTTAATTTTGTCAAAAATCTACAGTGAGCCTTAGGAGTCTTATAATCCGATGTGCCTTATGTATTAATTCTGTTTGTGTTTACTGACCTCGAACCGATTTTATGCGGTTATTGTGAATGAGTTGAATAAAGTTTGACGTGTATCAGTTTTGTTTCGCTTAATGCGCCTTATGTATGAAAACAGACCTGTTTATTGATATTGCGCCTTATAATCCGGTGCCCTTTATAGTCTGAAAAATACGGTAAATTCCAACAAAATCTTAACTCGCTACAAAATGTCAAAAGGAAATAAAATAATCTGGTTAAAATTATTTTTTTGCAGCTGTGACATAATCTGTACAACGGAGCTTTAGGGCCACGCAAAAAAAAAATTAAAAGCCATAAAATTACAAGAATAAAGTCGTAGAATTACGAAAATAAAGTCATACGACTTTTTTTTTTTTTCAGTTCTCGTTTTTTTGTTTTTTTTCACGAGTCGGATCCACAACATGACCCGTCAATCAATCCTGTAGGCGTGTCAGCAAATGACCAATCCAAATCTAAATGCTCCTATAAGTGAGTCACTGGGTCTCTTCAGCCTCTTTCTGGCATATTTACTGACAACCTCTAACAGCGCTGCACGCACAGTTTCGCTCACTTGCTTGCCTTTTTCAAACGGAAACAAAAACGAACGTCATGACGTCACGTATATGCATCCCAGAAGCAACATACAAAAACACAACAGCAGGTGGCAGTACTGGAACACGTTTTGCGTAAGTGCATTGATAACAATAAAGTTTAACGAACACTCTGCATTTTACCACAGTTAAAATGCGGTAAACCTGCTTTATCGTGTTTGAGTTGGGATAATACTACGACTTATTTAGCTTCAGATTGGTCATTTGCTGACACGCCTACTGGATTGTTTGACAGGTCACGTTGAGGATCTGACACATGGAAAAATAAATAAATAACGGCTGTAAAAAAAAAAAAAATCTTGTACGACTTTATTCTCATAATATTAAGACTTTATTCTCATAATTTTATGGCTTTAAAAAAAAATTCTTAGCGTGGCAATGTAATTTTTTTTTTTTTAGCATGTCCCTAAAGCTCCGTCGTAAATCTTGAGAGGGCTTCAGTTATACAAACTCTCAGGACTGACTGAGGACAAAAGATAATTGCTAGGAGAGCAGAGGTGGGGAGCTCAGCCAGATTGTCCTATTCACTTAGCGTGTTAAGATTTTATTACTTCCACGTCAAACAGAACGATTCAAACTCATTTAAAATTTATTTTTAATTAAAAAAAAAAACGCAAAAATCATCATTAAGTCTGTTTTGTTTTAAAATAAATATGCAACGGCCTCTTCTTCTCAGCACGTAGCTGCAGAGGCCTCAGGAGAGTGGAACATGACTGCGTGGTCCTAGTGCCTGACACTTCTAATTGAACAGCTGCAACACAATTGGCTTAAAGTGGTCAAGACACGTTCAGTGCTAATTCCACCAGAAAACGTTGTGGGAAGGGACGCAGTTTTCAACTCAACGGGAAATATTTAATCTCACGAGAGCTCGTTACACCCCCACTGTAAATATATTCTGTATCGGAGCTGGTGGTGAGGCGACGAACACAAACCTTCGTTCGAGGTCTGATGTCGCCCATGTCAGTTACAATCCCTCAGATGCTTTACATTCTTAATTTTGGTACCTGTTTTAACATTTTACTTCAACTAAAAGATGACTGTTCAATAAAATTATTATTTTTTTGGGTAGGCACATAGTACAAACATTCAGCAAACTCGGATTAAAAACAAGTACACACAGTGAATCCACTGCTTTCGCTACAAACAAATCAGAGGAAATTTTTTTTTCAATTAAATGCTGCAAAAAAAAAAAAAAAAAAAAAAAATCACAAAAGCCTAATCACACACGGCAATTTAAAACTAAATTAAGAGAAAAACCTAAATTTAAGTTCTTTCTTTTTTTGGCAGTGCAGACTGATGTTATTTTGTGTACAGAGCAACAAAAACACAAGGCAGAACTACGGTGGCCCTGAAGTTTAATCCACAACTACAAATTAAAAAACACAACATTTGAAAAAAAGCAATTACCGGTCCGGTACACCTGAAGAACCACAATTACCGTATTTTCTGGCGTATAAGTTGCACCAGAGTATAAGTCGCATCAGTCAATAAAAGCATCATGAAGAGGAAAAAAAAACAACATAACTAGGCCTGTCACGATAAAAAATTTTGCTGAGTGATTAACTCTCAGAAATTATTGTGATAAACGATAATATTGTTTGAAATTTAACAATTGTCAAATTTTAGAAGAAATGGTTTTGTTTGGCGTGTAGTACCTTTTTTGACCACCTGATGGCAGTATAAGACTGTTTGAACCAAAGGATGGATAATTGAACAGCGTGCCTCTTTAAGAAAAATGGGAGTGAGGGCCCTTGACATGACATGGGCTAACATTGTGCGGACACTCGGTGGTTTGAACTCTTAAGCATAGCAAAGCTTTTAATAAAAAATAAATAAATAAATCAGTAAAGTTCTCAGCTTCTTTTTTCAGAGAAAAACAACTTTTTACACAAAGGCACAGATTTCAACTGTAAATTTTGGAGCTTGACAAGACGGAAGTTTATTCCCGAGGTTGGCCTGTTATCTTAGCTTGTAGCTTAGCTTAGCTGCTTTTAACGATCCAAAAACGCGATTTAGGATTGTTAAAATCGATTTTAAAGGGAACGGAGAAAAGGAGGGGTCAGTGAAGAGCACAGGAGTTGAGCCGTGTCTTCCGTAGAAAGAGCGAGGCATGAAGAAATGATAAAGCTGGTAAAAGAAAAGGAGGTCGATAATTTTCATTTATCATGCGATTAATTGATTTATTGTTTATCGCGACACGCCTACAAATAAGTCGCTTCGGCGTAGAAGTCGCATTTATTATGCGTCACTGCTGACCTGTTGCGCTTATTATGAATAACAGCCTGGACGGCAACATCCAGGCATCCATCGCGGCCGGAGCTGATAGCTCTCCAGCGTTCCTCCGCTTGCACCAGCTGAGTGAAGCGAGCGCACATGGGAGGACTCACTGTTGCAGTTCTTAGAAATTTAAAGCGTCAAGTCAAAAATTGCGTTATGAATATGGGGAAAAAAAATCGTATACAAGTCGCTTCGACGTATAAGTCGCAAGACTGACAAATCTATGCAAAAAACTGCAACTTATACGCTGGAAAATTTGGTACATTAAGCGAAACAGAAGAGGTAGGGAAGGTGGGAGTTTCAAACGCCCCGTCGTCCAATCACTGATGTCTCATGTTTTCCACCTCTTCCTGTTTCGCTTAGTGTAATTGTATTTCTTCAAATGTAATTGCGTTTTTTCAAATTGTAGTTGTGGTTCAAACTTCAGGGCCACCGTATTGAACAATTTGTGACTGCTGAAAAAGCACGAGTCTAACGCGACACCCTAAGTGTGCTTCTGATCGCCTTTCACAGTTCATGTTTGTACGAACAAATTTCCACATCGCACACATCCTGAACATTCCTGCTGAGTGTTTCTCTACTATGTAGTTCACAGCCGAGTGGAACGGCTCTCATCAGCGTCACTCATGATCATCTTGACTGGATCAGTAGCTTGTTTTGCTTGAGAAACTACTGAAGAACTGCAAATGTGTGCAGCATGAGGGGTTTTCCTTGCCATAAGCCGTCACAGGGCTTTCTACTGCCCATAAATAACCCAACACACACAGGTTAAGGCCACTGCTTCGGTGTGGGGAGGAGTGAATTTTCTCAACCTTTGGAGACTTTGTTGTTGGTTTTTTTTGCTGGGATTCCACTTGCAGCTCCCACATCTGGTAGTTCTAAAGTGTGCACATTCAAAAATACATTCTGAAAGCATTTAAAACACCGTCTGCTACAAAAGCGGCCATGTTGGTGCCTTCTTTCTGCGACACGGGCGTTTCAGCCCTGCGGCTCGGTGCTGGGGGCCGCTCCGTCCTGCTCGCTGATGGTGTGGAGGAGAAGGCAAACGGGTGGGCTGACGCTCTGAGGGGCCTGCGGACTCCCCATCGGCTCATGCCCAGCGCTCCCCTCCTCCTCCACGCTAAAGGAGGCCTGGTGGCCACAACTGTCACAGAAGTCTGCCTCCTCTTCCTCCTCCTCATCGTCCACATTGTGCCCCAGCAGGCTCTCCAGCTCCTTGCTGTCCTGGTCTGTCCCTCCAGCTCCATTACAAACGTTGTTTCCAGGTGTGCCGCACACGCACACCTCAATCCCAGAATCCCCAGTGAAACGTCTCCTTCGTCCATTGGGGAGGAGCTTTTTATCTTCATTACAACTTTCCAAAGTGCTAAAATCCTTCAGAAAAGGGTCCTTGCAGGAGTCGTCCACACCTTTTCTGTCCTGGCTGGTGAGCTCCTCCACACTAAGTCCATCCGGCAGCAGGATCATGCCTGAATCTTGTGCCGTCTGTATGGGTTTATCGTCAGGCTTCGGTCTAAAGTCAAATGTAGGAGGCTGGGGCTCCTCTGCGCCGGGTCTGCAACACAGCCCTTCAGAGACTGGAGGGACGGAGGAGGACTGGACGACCGGACATTGTCCCTCCTGCTGCTCAGGAGCCACAGGAACAGAAGCCGCTGACGATGGGTTTGTGTTTAAGGCAGAGTAGGGAGGGGGAGGGGTCGGAGGCCGATTGACCACCTCTTCATAATCAGGGAGGAGGTAGTTTGGCAGAAACCCTGAAGGGATACAAATGGAGAAACAAAAACATTTAGTGAAAAAAAACTTAAACAAAATGCGCCTTATTAACTTTTATAAGTAGCAGTCGTTCAACTTTCACCATGACTGTGCTACACTTTTACACAAACCCTCCCAGTGCTACAGGAAACAGCTCCTTCCTTTGACAACTGGGTGCTGCAGGCTGCTCCAGCACGCAGAGATGGTTTTGCAACATTGGCAATGTACCAATGATGATGATTTCCTGAAAACTGGGGCACGCAAACAAGGAAGAGCCAGACGCCAGATCAAACTCTGGACGGACCTCAGAGCAAACATCACGTCAAAGCCACGCACCAACAAGTTAAGAGAACTTGTCACTCACAAATCAGAATTTACAGACTGCTAGCTACGATATTTCTTTTTTTTTTTCCTGAGCTTTAGAAAACATTTAAACAGCATGACACTGTCATCTACACATGACGACACCGAAGATTGAACGACTCCATCATTTTTAATTGGATCATTATTTAGAGAATACTTTTGTGAAGCAAAACAAAAATAAAGAAGCTAAATTCAAAAAAGGTAAATAAAATAAAAAATAAAAAAAAGTAGGCCTGTCACAATAACAAATTATATTGGGCAATTAATTGTCTCAGAAATTATTGCAATAAACAATAATTTTGTTCGAAATTTGATCATTCGTAATGATTGTCAAATTTAAGAAGAAATATCGCGGGTCTTCAGGGTACGAATCCCCCGCGATAAACGAGGGACCACTGTATATCTTTTTTTTTTTTTTGTTAACATAAAGTTGTAGTTTCAATGGTTTAGTTTTTGCAGTTTAGTTTAAAAACCTGATTTTTCTGGGCTCTTTTACCAGAACATGCATCCAACACCACAATAACTGATTACCGTGTATCCCAAAGATGCCACATGTTAGTTCAGATACAAATAACCAACACTCAGTTAAAATTTGCCAAACCACCAGGCAAAAACACATAATTCAATAAGTTTTGTTTATTTCTTCATTCAAAATCGGCTCATTTAGCAGCCGAATCCTTCACAAACAGCAGAAACCTACATATCTGCTGGTGAGCTTATAAGAAATGATTGCTTGGTGCAGAAACAAATGGTTATTAATTCAATTATAAAATAAAACTCATCAAAAAGCTGAAAGGAGCTACTTGCATTATACATTGTATGTTATCGCTGTCAAAGAACACACCATGCTGATAAGTTACGTGTTCAAATGTTTGTATGAGTGGCAGGCCTTACTGAAGTAAAAGGGCACAGATGGAAAGTTGTGTGCTTCCCGGTAAGCTATGAGGTTGATCTCGTGCTGCCGTTGTTGCTGCTGCAGCCGGTGTTTGGTGCGGCGATGGTGACAGATGCAGCAGCAACACAAAATGAAGATGAGTGCCCACACAAGCCAAAACCCTACAGAACAAAAAACACCAAACGTACATTTATAATCTTACTTTAAAAAGGCAACGTCATTCAGTGCACTCAGATTTCAAAATTAAATCGGGGGCAATAATAAAAAAAGTGGAAGTGATAGTGAAATTTCAAATCTCTTCTGTTAAGAAAGGTAAAACCAGCTGAACTGCTAACACCATAAGGGTGTATGATATCCCAAACAAAAATTAAGATTAAATTTGTCACCAGACATACGTAGTGAATATTTATGTGAATATTCATGCCGGATACTGCAACCTAAATTAAAGCTTTGATTGATGACCATTAAACAGATGTGCACGTGACGCTCCACCTAGTGACGATGCATTCATCTATAAATCTAACAAAGTTAAAGCCCCGTTTACACAAGACGTTGCTTGAGAGAAACCGCAGCAGAACGGTTGCGGTTCGGCCGTTCATTTACGTGACAACAGCGCTCACTCTCGGAAACGGAAGTGGAGATTTTCCGGGGAACAAGGTGTGAAATGCTCCGCTAGCGTGAAGTTGCACATGTGCACAACAGGCAGCTGCAGTCAAAAGTTGTTCTGCACTAACAACAGTTATTATAAATGGCAGAGAGCAGAGTGTTTTTGTGCCTATCACCCTTTTTCAGAATGTAGGAGCTAAAGTATTAAAATCCAGAGTCCAAAGAGGCATTGGTGTATTCACTAGTTTGGACACAACTGTGATCAAGCAGATGCTGTATGTGCCATGAATGCAGCTGAGCCTGGCATCAGGGTTGCCAGATCAATTTAAAAGGTCTTATTTACCCCCTCATTTTCTGTGCACATGTTCAACAAACACAACACACATTTCATCTTAGAATATCTTTACTCAGCACATATGATAGTTTAGGTCAAAATACTATCATTTTAAAACAACAGTATTACAGTTTAGAATTTCTTATCTGGCAACCTGACTGACATGGAAACTACAGCATTTTTGTGTACACCCTCTCTTTTTTTATTTTTATGTTTTTATGGGGGGGGGGGGGGGGTTACTACACCCAATAAACATTGAAAAAACACTAATGTTTCCAGAAGTTGTTCTCTAGTAAACAGGGCCTAAAGGCTCGCACAGACTCGGGCGGACCTCAGTCCGTGCGGAAACTGTGCGCACTGTCCGCACAGTTGAGACTTCACACTCGAGCGTCCACCTTGAGCGGCTGCAGCCAGCTCCGCAGGCAAGGGGCGTTTACCTTTGGGACAAATTGAGGTTGCTGATCGGTCATTTGCTGACACGCCAACTGGACTGATTGACAGGTTGCAAAAAAAAGAAAACCTAGAGCTGGCAGCCGACTGTCAGCGGTGTTCTGTGTTTATATGTTGTTAATAAAAAGTTCTAAAAAAAAAACTAACAAAAAAACCAGAGCACTGGCCCTGCTGCAGCCCACACATCAGACCCTCCCACAGCCATGCTGGACCTGATTTTAATTTGCTAGTGACAAATTCCTTAATTTCTCACAATTTCAGTTATGGCGTCAACAAACAAGGAGGAAGAGATTGCTTGCCTCTTGGGAAAAAAAAGAAAAGAAAAGGACATTAAACCAGACCACGGATGAAGAAGGGCAATTTAACACATTGGTGTTGCATACAAAATAGTCTGTCGCCGAGCAGTTTATTGTACAAAACCAAGTACATGTACGCGGTCGTAAAAATTGATCTTTGCATGGATGTGCCCTGCAAGCATCCGCTTCGAGTCTAATCCAGTATGCACGGACCTCCGCATACTGAAGTACGCCCCAGTATGCTGGAGCCTTAAGTCAGGTCCTCTGGATGGATTTTTTTGTTGTTGAAACGTTTTATCTTTTGTCCAAAAGACTTCTTCAGTCTGTGGCCCTGCAACAAACTCATTCTTATAAGAAGCACTTTATCGTAGTGGATCAACCTGTTTGCTGCTGACAGAACTAGCTATTCACGTGTAAAAGGAGGACCATCAACCTAACAATTGACTGTTAGTGTCCTGATGGCTGCTTGCTATTCACACAGGGCTGAGTGATGAAATAACAGCATTGTAAGAAAGTGACAGTTGAACATGGAGGCCCCTGCCCCTGTTTACGATGAACAGGTTCTCTTCACAAAGATGGCTTCCTTTATTCCTCTCTCAAGCGATCAGTGGCTGTTCAGTTTCCCCGATGTGACTGATCACAGCCCTCCTGACACTGAACAGCATACACAACATTATTCTGTTTGTGCCGGGGGACTGGATCTTTGGTATGAACCAGTCTGTGTCGTAATGTATTTTGGGGTTTAAAAGCCACTGGGACGTTGTGTTTAGAAAATAAACGTCTCGGTTTCTCCGATACTCCCGCAACATACGGAATGACCACTGGTCTGGGTCTGGGTTCCTCCTTTTCACCTGATGGCTGACTGGAGTCCTGTTTGGGTTTCTTCTCTGCTTTCAGGAAGGCCCAGTTAGGATATCCACATTGCTCTAGAGCCTGTCTTGTGTAGGATTTCTCCTTCTGCCTGGCTCCTGAGTTAGTGGGGACGCTGTCTGCTCTGTGGTACAGAGTCCTGATGACTCCTAACTTGTGCTCCAGCAGATGATGGGAGTCAAACCGCAACTACTGGTCTGTGTGGGTGGCTTTGCAGTACACATCGGTTTGCAAACACCTTCCATGAGCGACGGAGACCTCACAGTCCTCTGTGAATAGCAAGCGATCAGAACACTAATGACCAATTGTTATGGCTCTCTGAATCCATTGTTAGGCTGATAGTCCCATTTTAAATGTGAATAGCTAGTTCTGGCTGTCAGCAGGAAACTGGTTGATCCACTTTGAGAAGGCGCCATTTAGGCTCCATTTACACGACCTGTTTTGGAGTGAAACCACAGCTTTTCTGCTCTGGTTGGGCCATTCATTTACACGACAACAGCCCTCGTTCTCTCTGAAACCAAAGGTTTTTGAATCCAGGTCACGAAGTGGAGATTTTCAGGGGAACCCCCTCCACAAGTGTAGCCGCACATGCGCACTACAGGCATATATGTCACACATGTATGGCCAAATGGCATATTGTACTTCTATCGCCAACAATGGCGCTGGAGTATAACATACTGCTTTACTTATACATTAAACAATAAACTGAACTCATCATCAGGCCGCACAAAGCTTTTGTCGCTAGCCATGCTTTCCACTCTCCAAATAAATATTTACATTCCACACACAGGGTTCAAGTGCCAGCGCGCACGCACATTAGATGAAGGCACAAAATTCAGAGCGCCAGCTGATGACCTGGCATGGCAGCTACAGCGGACAGGGGATTTCTGCGGTTCCATGTAAACGCCAAATGTGGGCCGTATGAATTAAGATGTTTTCCCTGAATCAACAACCAAAATACACCACATTTCTAGCGGCTGTGTACGTGGAAATGGAGACATGTAAGACTGAGTTTGTTGCAGGGTCTCAGACTGAAGAAGTCTCCTGGATAAAAGACAAAACTTTTCAACAAAGAAGAATCCATCCAGAGGACCTGACTTAACCTTCTTAGATTTTTCTACCTGGATTACTGAGCATGTGTCAGGACATTTGTTTATAAAGTTTCGTTAAATTATCTCGAGTGGACCAGAAGCTATGAGCGGTACAACGGAAAGTTTACGAACATACGGACGGAGACTTTAAAATATTACATCTGCCTTCTGACAGGCGTATAAAACTGTTTTGCTCATCTTGGCAGAAACCAAACACAAAAGGAAGAACTGCATTTTATTTCAATATGTTGTGTTCAAGAACAAAACTGAGCGTTAAAACAGACTTCTATGCACTTTTTCACGATCTCAAGTTATTTTTAGATGTCAGATTTAATACCTGCCATGCTTAATGTTAAACAGCAGCAGGAAACCAAAACTATTTTATTTACAGTGTGTGTGGTGGTGGTGGGGTGTAAATGGATTGCTCTGCTGTCACAGAAGAATGTGAGGTCCTTTACTTCAAGGACGACGGAGCAGGACAGCTGGAAAAGAAAAATGTAAACCATCATAATCTGGAACTGAGAAAATGAATCTGCTGGAGCGGCGCAGTCGCCAAGATGAACCGATGGGTCTGTTCAAATGTTTATGTCTAGGAACCCACACTTAATACCATACTCAGGTTTGACCTTTTATCAACCTTAGGGATGCACATTATATTGAACATGTATTGTGGCTTTGAGTCCAGCAACAACCGAAAGTGGGATCACATTGTGATGAAGGGCAGAATCTTACAGTGTCTAAAGGCTGAATTATATAATGTTAAAAGCCTATATTGTACCTTAATTGAGGGGTAAATTAAGGGTCATATTATCCATTTGTTCAAACTTAAACAGGCATATCCTGTTGAGATCACACATCTCGTTTTCAAGGGAGCCTAAACATGCATGTTTTTGGACTGTGGGTGGAAACTGGAGTAAAGAGAGAAAACCTACAAGGGGAACATGCAGACTCCACACAGAAAGACCTCAGGTTCAACCCTGGGCTTGAGCCAGAACATTCTTGCTGTGAAGCAACAGTGCTAACCAAGTAACACATCACGCTGCTAAACTGTGTGAATAAGTGCTGCACCATATTGTGATAAATCCTATAGTTAGGCTTGGTTTCCTGAGCTATCCCTCAGTTATGATGCTATGGACGTATACTGCTAGAGGACAAACTGACCACATTTCCTCACTCTGCTGCTGTCTTTACTTGCTCTTCCTGTTTGTATTTGTAATTATTTCCATCTTAATGTGTGTTTTGTCATTCCTCCAATATAAACCTGGACCCGTCATTCATTTTGCGTTTGTTTCTCCTTCCTGTCGTCTCAAACCAGCCGGTCGAAGCAGATGGCCGCTCATCTTGAGCCTGGTTCTGCTGGAAGTTTCTTCCGGTTATGAGGGAGGTTTTTTTTCCTTTCCGCTGTTCCCTCTGTGCTTGTTCAGGATGGGAGACTGCGACGAAATCAAGACTCACAATGTAATCTGCTTATCCTTAGATAGATACATTTAATAATTGGCTTATATGTGAAGGTTTCTGTTCAGTGCCCTGAGACGACTTCTGTTGTGATTTGGTGCCACCATATAAATAAACTGAATTGAATGGCATCTTATTAGTTGTTGTTGCTCATGTACCTTTAAAGGAATCACATTATTGATACCATATCCACATGCATATTGTATCGGCCAGAGAACAAGCTTTTAACTAGAAGTTCTTTAGTGTCAAAAACAACAACAAGAACATGCTGCTGATCTATTTCATGCAGCTGATCTATTTCATGCTGCCGTGTTCATTCGTGCTCATCTGCTGTTCGGCGTATTGTTTTTATACTTAGTGCTCAGCGTATTTTTAGTTATCGTTTTTCTTAGTTCATATCTTAGATGTTATTACTGTTTTTCTTTAACACTTTATACTTTTGTTGGATGTAACTGGGACCCTGTGTACACAATTTTGTTCCACCACATGTAAACAAATAAAGAAACTCTGACTCTCAAATGTATGTAGTTATTCTGATGCTCAATGTTTTTTTTTTTTTCACAGATCAGAACAAGTAGCAGGTGGAACTAACGTTGCAACGCCTCGTTGCAGCAAAAAAAATATTTTAGGGATACAAAAAACAACGCAACTAATTGTCAATTAGTACCGATGGTAATGTTTTCTTTAAGACTAAATTATTTAAATGGAGAGGTATATTATCACTAAAATCTAGGATTGCTGAGACCCTAGATGACTTTTAATTCCATGAAAAGGATTACATTTTAAATGTTTCATTCCACATAGTCAATACTTGAGCATTTCACACATTGTTAACGTTTTGTGTTGAAGGCAAAAGTTGGAGAATCACCAAATTAGGCCAAAAACAAGTTTGAGGATTACGTTCGGCTGAATAATGCTTCACGTAATTTAATGTTTGGTTAGAAACACAGTAAGAGAAGGTGAGACGATGGAAAGAATCATTCAAAGCTGTAAACTTACACCAGAGCTCATAGTAATAACTGCAGCACTGAGACTCTCCACAGCAGTGGCCGTACTCGCAGAAGTAGCTCTGGTTGTTGACGCCTTCACAGCGGAGTAAGCTCTGCAGGAAAATAAACGTAAGAAACGGCATCAGTTTAAATTGAAAGAAAAATTTGATTTAAAAAAAATTATAATTTAAAAGTTTATTTCAATTAGGATGCATAGTTTGACTGAATGGTATCGAAAACAATTCCTAACAATTTGCAACATTTAACAACAACAAACATAAAAACTAATATGTAGCTATATACAGTTCGCCTCCATGCATCGAGGTTCAAGTTATTCATAGTCATTCGCATCACATGTGGTACATGAGGTGGAAGGAAATTGTGTACTCAAGGTCCCAGTTGCATACAAAAATAGCAAAATTAAAAAGCAGGAATGCACAATATTGGATTTTTTTTTGGCCGATACCCGATATACCAATATGTTAAACCTTATTTGGCCAATAACCGATACCAATACAGATATTTTTTTCCTAGACCTGTTTACAGCGATTACATAGCGTTCTCTGCTATGGAATTAAAATACTACATTATTCTGCATGGTCTTTGACAATTTGGCCTGTTAATAAATGCAGATGCCAAAAAGGAGGCAAAAAATGATGTAACACTTCCATTTTATATATATATATATATATATATATATATACACACTTGGATATTATACATCGGTGAGTTATTTTGATGTCCGATGTCTGGTATTTAATTTGAACACTAAAATCGTCTGATACGATACCACGCTGATAATATTGTGCATCCCTAATATACTGTATAAAAAAAATAAACTGTATACAAGGATCTAAGATATACACTAAACAATAATAATGTAATATAATACGGCATGTTAAACAGCAGCCTGAACACGAGTCTGTTGTGAGTAGATGGGTAAGACTACAACAGTGTAAAGACAAGAAATCAGCAGCATGGATAATCAGCAGCACAAAGTGACAAATCACCAATTAAAGTGGCCTTACAGTGATTTTTCTGGTTAGGAATTCATGAGTAACAGCTTCAGGGTAGAAGCTGTTCCTCAGTCTACTTGTTCTCCACTATCAGCTCAGTTACAAACTTTAACTTCTGCTGGTGTGATTCATGCAACAGTTTCCTTATATGCATGTTAGCCACAAATGTTTTTCTTGTACTCTATAAGGACAATAAAATAAAAAAAGGTTCAATCATGTCATCTGGACCAGTTTAATAACTTATTCTTGCTTTGCAGTTTTGAGGTTTTGCTCAGCACAGGGCTGTCACAATTAAAATGGACTTAATGTAAAATATCTCCATTTTTTATACAAAATGACGACTTTACCTTCTGCAATTAAAGTATTTCACGAAGCTGTGCTGACACTGAACATTAAACGGTGACCCTATCGTTTAGCCAGCGTGGACGTTGGTGCCAAATTTATCAAAGTCCCATCAGACCTTCCCTAAACAACTCGTTCCAAACAATGGGATGGATGCACGGTCACACTGACCTGGACCAAAGGAAACGACTCGGAGTCCAACTGAAATATCCTGAAATTCCTTCAAGGCACTCAAGACATCAATTTCAAGAGGGAAAGGAAAGGAGCAGAAAATAAAACTAGAAAAACATGGAACTTTAACCTGCTGAAGCCATGAGCCTTAAAGAATACAGAAACATCGAACAAGAGCTATAAACTGAGCCAAAACCCACAGCAGTTAAACATTATAACCTTTTTTAAGTGATGCATGATATTGGATATATATATATATATATATATATATATATATATATATATATATATA